CGCGTCTGTTGTGACCCCCCCCGACTCATGCCAACCCGGCCCCCTCCCACCCCTCAGTGAGGGCATCTGGGCACAGCAGCCATGGCGCTCCGGGGCTTTCGACCACGAGCCTGGAGTGCAGGGCAGGGCAGGCTGGGTTAGGGGTGTACGTGAGAGGTATGCAAAGAAATAACATAAATCCCTGTAACCAGAATATCAGCATTCAAGTTAGTACTGCCCACCGGGGCGGGCTGGGGGTGGCTGCAGACCCCCGTGTAGGCTGCAGTGATGGCCGCGCCTTTAGAGAAAGGCTCTACAATGCGCTCTCCAGCTAGTAGCCTCTTTTTTCATTTCCTCGAGAGGACAGGGCGAGGACATGTTTTCCAGGCGCTCTTGGGAGCAGCTTCTGCGAGTGATCCTTCACCCACCTGCTGCCTGGGGGGCATGATGCCCCCTGCAGCAAGCGGCTGTGTATATTAAATGCTTTTATCCCTATGCCACGCTGTTCCCCCATGTCCTATCAGCGGCCATATGCTGGGGTGCAGGAAAAGGCTTGGCAGGAGGGGTGCAACTCCATGGCCTTCCCTGGCCTGGCCGGGTGGGCAACATGGCAGGGTGAATGCCACTGCTGCTGCACCCCAGCCCTGATCACCCCTCAGAGCCCAGACACTATCTCTTCCTCCTACATGGCCCTGGAAAGCAGCAGGACGGGGCCAGAGGGGAGACAGGCAGCTCCTGCTGCTGCGGAGTCACCCTGCCTGGGTCCAAGGGCCGGCAGCCTTGGGCCGTGCCGGCAGCCATGGCGGAGCAGTGGTTGTCACAGCAACCATAGGGGCTGCCATTGTAGACGCCCACCATGGGGACAGTGGGGTTCCCAACTGGGGCAGGAGGGATGGGGATTTATTTAAATAAACCAAAGCAAACCAAACCCCTTAAGCTATTTTTTTTCTTTCCTCTCTTCCTAACACATAAGGACAGCCGTGTCCTGCCAGCGGGCTGGCTGTGAAGGGCTGAGTACCACCTAGCTGGTTTTGTCTTAAAGCACAGTGATAAAGTTACCAGTAAATGAAACCCGCAGACATGTGGGTTTTACATTCTTCCCCAGTGGGGTTGGGGTTTTTGTTTCTTTTTTTCTTTTATTTTCTCCCTCACAAGTGCTGTCTGGATGGTAGGGGGAGGAAAGGCGAGGGAGACACATCTCCCTCTCCCACAGGCCCATGGGGGCAGAGATGCTGCCGAATCTCTCGTGCTGTGTGGAGACCATTCGGGACAAGCCACATCAAATCGGTGGTGCTGCGGTTTGAGAGCAACAGGATGGCGACAAGAGGTGGCTGGATGCTGCTGGGAGGGAGCAAGGCCAGTGCCACTGCTGGCTGCCAAACCCACCATGAATGCCTCTGCCAGGGAACAGTGAGGGAGGAGCAGGGGACAGCCCTCGAGGGGCTGCCATGGGGCTGCTCTTCTTCCTGTGGACATGGGGTGGGTTTTGCTTCACAAATCCTGGGTCCTTTTCTGCACTGGCGCCAGCCTTTCCGCTGTGAATGCGCTCACTGCACCTCACTTGCTGGGTCAAAGCTTGCCTTGCTCCATCCTTTCTAAGGAGCTTCCTATGCTCAGGCTGATTGTCCATGGAAACATGTTGCTTGTTTCTCCTCTTCTGCTAAGCTGTCCTCTGCACACAGGGTGTCTCCAGAAGGAAATGTGTAGCAGTGAACCTTTTACCGCTTGCTGTCCCGGCTAAATATTGGAGACTCCCCTCCGCTGTGCATGGTGTAGAAAAGGGATGATTGCACCAGATGGGGTTTTTTGAGATAAAGTTTAAAATCCACAAGGGAGAGTAGTCCATTGCAACTTCCCTGACACACTGGAGTTCAGCCCCAGGGCTTGCTTGGAGGGTAGAAGAGCAGCGTCTAAGCTTGTCTCATCTGTTGTCCATGGAAGAGGGGATCAGGGTGGTGGTGGGTGATGGTTTTTTAATCTCCTGGATGATGAATAGAGACCAAGACCTGTGTTGTTTCACAGCCTCCTCCCCACCTGTCCAGTCCCCACCACAGCACCTGCTGCTGCTCTAAGTGCTGCGGTATGTTTTGATGATATCTTTGATGGCCCGTCTGCAAATGGGGCAGCAAGCGTTGGCCATCTTCTTGAGCTTCAGCCCACACGAATAGCAGAGACACATGTGTCCACAAGAGTAAATGACCGTGTCTACCATGTTCTCGTAGCAGATGGTGCATTCATCTCCCCAGGGCCCTGAGACGGACGGGGAGATGGGTGACTCAGGCAAGCTGATGGGAGAGTTGGGAGCTGTGCCTGAAACACAAAGAACAGGATCAGTCATGCTGCTTAAAAGGCTTCTTGACATCCCAGGGTAATTTCTGCCCTGAAGCCCACTACAGAGGGAGGAACCATGCCCTAGCAGAAATGGATGCTCCAGGATCAGGGGTCTTTCCTGTGACCTGCTGTCCCACTCACTGAGCCCTGGTTCACATGCCAAGGCTCAGGGCAGCAGAAAGGCAGCATCTGCTGGGATCTGCTGCCCACGTAGAGCAAACCAAGAGGCAGCTGTTCCCACACAGCAGGGACAAAGAGCAGTTTCACGTTTTCAAACCGCTGTCTAAACATTAACAAAGGAGAAAAATCAGGAGGGGCGGATCAAGCCATCTGCTTTGAAAAGGGAGAGGCCAGGTGGTACACGGTGGCAGCAGCTCCCAAGACAAGCAATGCTTCATCTCTAGGGCTGATCCAGGGGTGTGGGACCACAATGCCTGGCTACAAATCACCCTGTGTGGATCCTTCAGGACAGGGGTGGCGTGGTACCTGCATGGACAGCATCTAGCTCATAGTGGGTACATCGCTTCGAGAGCTATGAGGGGCTGCAGTAATTATGCTCGCAGCACACCCGTAATGAGGCCTCCCCAATGAAGCCAGATGAGGTAGCAAGATAATGAGAAAAATTCTATTTTTTTCCCCCAAAACCCATTAAAAATCTGAATGTTTGCTGTCACCAGTTATTAGACTTGACACTGATAGGTACCTTCAGCGAAAAACACTCTAGGTTTGGACAACAATGAGAAGGACTTGGTAAGTTATATATCCCACCATCAATGCCCTGGGATCATGCAGGTTCCTGGGGTTTTAAAAATGCTGCAGAACAGCCTATCATTTTCTACTGCATGTACATATATCTAAATCTCACTGGAATTCATTGACATATTAGAAATACCAATACTGCCTTTTTCTGAAGAGGGTACTGTAGGTGTGTGGAGAGGGAAAGGGGGGCAGTAGGCATACCTATAACTCCAGTCTAAGCTAGCATGCAACACGTCACTGCCACACAGCTCTCCAGAAGGAGCTGTGCGTCACAGGGCCATGCACATAACAGAAACCCTGCTGCCTCCCTTGGGACCTTTCATGATGAAAAGAGTTGGAGAAATACTGCTGTCTAGGCATCCAGGCGGCTTCCACATAAAACAGACTGAAAATAGACTTTGCAGAGGCTCTCCCTTCCTCCCCAAGGGAGCTGACAGGAGACTCTGTTGATCATTGTGGTTTTAGAGTCCTTCTGGGAGACACGCCTGAGACCGTGAAGGGAGGCAGTGCGGGAGCGGTCAGAGGGAGGCAAAGGAAAGGCAGAAGGGGGATCCCACCGCACTTACCACTGATAGAGCTGCAGAGGGGGCCAGAGCCACATGTAGACAATATAGGGTCAGAGACACCGCTGCAGAGGACAGTGGGGGAATTGGGTGTCGATGTGGGTGAGCTTGGTGTAGACAGCCCCAGCCGCTCGGCTAATATGGTGGAACCTGCACCATGAGAAAAGAAACCCACAGTTATTTTTAAAAATTGGGGCTGACGAGGCACTGGGGATATGTGGCAGGGTGTGCAGCTCTCAGTGCTTGTCAGGATTTGTGTCTCATCAGCACGAAATCTAGGGAAGAGATAAAGGAAAAAAAAACATCATACGCCTTTTTAAATGCTAGCAGCTGGCCCTGAAGAGACATTGAGCTCCCACAGCCCCTGAAATTTGCTGGAGCTCCTTTAGCCTTCATAACCCTTTGTTTCTGCCCTTAAATATGTCTCAAGTCATTAAGTGCAGTTACTTTCCTTATGGTTATCCTCATGCTCATATGCACCCTCCTTTTTAAATGCTAGCAGCTGGCCCTGAAGAGACATTGAGCTCCCACAGCCCCTGAAATTTGCTGGAGCTCCTTTAGCCTTCATAACCCTTTGTTTCTGCCCTTAAATATGTCTCAAGTCATTAAGTGCAGTTACTTTCCTTATGGTTTCATGCTCATATGCACCCTCAGCACTATATCCAGGGATGGGCTTGTAGCCAGTAGAGGACACAGCCTGCAGTAGGGTGGGCTGGACTCCAGCACAAGAACGTATCACCTTGTCAAAGCACTCTACACTAACCCAGCACAAAATGCATCATCCCAGGCCCTGACAAATTCATGCAAAGTCACTCAGGGACTTCCCAGACACAAACACAAGGGTTTGGCAATCAGGAAAACTTAGCTCTGCTCACTGCTCTGCCACTTTTGTAGGGTGGCCTCTGTCAGAGGCGGGGATAGCAGGTGAGGACAGAAATCCGGGTAGAAACCTCTTCAGGCCAGCCAAGAGACAAGTCATCAAAATGCATTTGGCTCTGGGATGAACAGGGCAGACACCTCTCCCCGCCCAAACAGGAACAATTTCTCCACTCCCCGCATGTCTGGATGTGATGGCTCAAGAGTGCAGAGCCCCTTCAAGTCCCTTCTAGGTGTCCCCAGCTCCACTACCTCTGCTCTCGCTGCCCACCATCACCTCTGTGTTAGTGTGGTCTGCCAGAAAAGCCAGCTCTGCCCCACAGCCTGCTTGGCACCCTCACTCCGTCTCAGCCTCTTTCTTCTGTTGTTATAATAACAAGTATCTTAAAGTCCCTTCCAGAAGGGAAAAAAATGGGAATGCTTAAAACTCTAGCTGCTGCAAAGGTTTTGTAGGGGAATTTCATTGTTAACGATGCAGCTTGATCTTCAGTAAGACAGTGGTGAAGCAGCGGCATACACATGCATGAATCAAGGTATGGTTTCTTGGTGGTAAGAACTGGTTTTAAAGTTAAAGTTTCTAGTTCCCCAGCTAGGAAGACAAGCAGGGTAACTCCAAATCAGAACTAAAATGCTAAGACTTCTTCATGTTACCATATAAGGAGCCGAGAGACACAGAGGATTTGGATCCGCAGTGTCCTCGATGAGTCGGAGGCTACTCTCCAGAGAAAAAGCAGCAGTAGGAGGCCAGGAAAACCCCATGCACCAGAAAGGTCCTTCAGTTCCTATTTGCAGGGAGGCTACCGAGCCAAGGAGGACCAAACCTGGGAAGCAGGGACGCAAAGCGCCAACTGTGGATTGTGCCAAAAAAGCAAAAGCACAGCAGCAGCCACTGCCAGATTCTCCTGCCCTTTTTAGCAGAACAAGACTGAGCAGTTTAAGTGTAGCACAGGGACTGAGGGGGGGGTCATGTTTGGGTCGAAATCTGTTCTGAGGACTGCGTACAGGAGAATAAGTAATTCACGTCAGCCTTCAGTCCCTCGGTTTTACCCCTCTTCAAATGAGGAGCGCTTTGCTCACAGGCAAAATCTGAAGCTGAATTAGCCTGTATAAAGGGCTTTGGGGCTCTCTCACTTGAGATGCTGTAGAGAGGCACCTCCTTTATCACACAGATGGGCTCTGAGACTGGAGTTTAGCTCAGTAAATATGCAAAGAGAATGATGCAGCCTCTAATGACAGCCACTAGCAATGGCCCTTCCCCTCCAATCTGACAGATGACCAGAGCAGAAAATTTGCCCTGAGGGTAACACACACTGTAAACAGGCCCAGCAGGGGCACAGATTTCAGCTCGTTCACTGCACACAAAACAAATATGAACACTGAGCAGCTGAACAAGTTTTTGAAGCCTTCCCTCTCTTCCCTGCAGCCTGGAGACATTTCTTCCATTCGGCTGACACACAGCACACTGCATTTCTAACACCAACCTGGTCATTTCATTAAATGCAAAATAAAGATTATTAAGAGCATTTTGCCCGGCTAATAGGAGAATTTGGAGGTGCCCCAAGTGTCACAGAGTATGAACTGATGAAGCATGCTGGCAGCAGTGCAAACAGCTTTTCCACAGTGCAAGGAGAACTCATCAGTGCAGAAACCACAATCTTCTCTGGTTGTGGCCAGTCTAAGTCCCAAAATGGCCTTACCCAAGACCCAAGGGCCAGCATACACCTTCCCAATTCTTTTTCCTAACACAAGCTGCAGCTCTTGACTTTTCTCCAGCATAAGTATAGAGCTTTGTTTAAGACAAACTGAGTTCCCTAGCAGAGAAGACACACTTCTCCCTTGGTGACAGAATAATCAACATAAGACATGTTACTCATGCTGTTAATATATTGCTGGATGGTGTGCAGATACCATGACAAGGAGCATGGAATGAGATCATGAGCAGGGGGGGAATGAGTGTGGCCAGCTTGGCTTAACTAAAACCAGATACATGTGCTCAAGGCCAAACATGCTCATTGTGTGCATAGAGCTCCCACCAAGAGCTAGCTTTCAAACCATGATTTAAAAACATTAAATAATTCTAAATAAATCAATTTAAATAATTATTTAGAAACATTCTTCCCCTCTGTAAAGCCCACAGATAAATTGCCTCTGCTGCTAACTTGTATCATGCTTGATCTCAAACACACTGGAATCACCTTTAAATGGATTGTGAATCAATTCCATTTGCTGTTTTATCTTTGCAAAGTCCAATTATTAGCAAAATCCAATGCAGATTGACTCTTACGCTGTACTTCTGTCATCACTCTGGGAGAGGTGCAAATAAACAAACCTCTATGTCCACCCACAAAAGGAAAGAGGGTATCATACTTTCAGCAGAAGAGAGTATTACCATGGAATGTACAGACATCATGATGCCAGGAAAGGCTGCTTGTATGCTAAAGTTTTGTAATTCAGAATAGTCTTGCCAAACTGGAAATAGGATCAGAAATAAATGGGATGGTATTCAATACGATCAAATGCAAAATGCAACATTTAAACAGAGATAATCAGCTACCCAAATACAGGACAGGGAATTAGTCTGTTCAATTACAAATACAAATGTTTATAGAACATCCTAACTGTAACCAAAATACAGCAGCTGTGGCCCTCAGAGATGCTTTTGGCTTTCTGTATCTACTGTGGTGAACAGGGTGGTTTCCCAGAACATCGCAATCCACTCTCAGGGGATATCTCCTGAGGCTGTCCCAACTTTTAAGCAGACATTTTTTTGCTCATCTCTCTTAATGGCAGCTGTCTGGGAGAGCTGTGCCGCGGAAGGACTTACGTTGGTAAGGCGGCCAGATGCAATGTCAATACTCCCTAAAAATACAGAAAATTTTCAATTAACTGTCCCCCTTAATTCATCTGTAAAAATACTATTTCTACATTTCTTTCTCATAGCAAAGTGATTATGTTGACCTGCTTATTACTGCATAGGCCCCAGAGAAAGAATCGGAAAACAACCACAACAACAAAACCAAGTGGGAAGAGCAATGTGCTGTCTGTATTTTCCTTCTGAGCATGCTTAGGGGCATTTGTCATGATGCAAGTAAATCCCCAGGGCATCTCTGTGGCCTAGAGCAAGGAGAAGCTGCCACAAATCTGTTCTGTAGCTATTCCCAACCCATTGCTAGCAAGCAGTATAGTAAGACTCCCAGGCTCAAACTACAGCTGAGGTGGAGAGAAGAGTAAAGTAATGCCAAAGAGCGAGTTGCTTCCTTATTACTGTTGACTTTGGATCACTGAAGGTTGGGAAACTACCACTTTAAGGTGTTCACAACACATTTCTTAATCTGCTATCTATTCCTGAGACAGGTGATAGAGTGGCAGGGCCATTCCTGGGACTCAAATAATGACAACAGGCTGAACTCCATCAGATTATGAAAAACATCCATCAGCCAATGAAAGGTACCCAGTAACTTCTTGGGATTTGACCAGGGCATTCCTCATACTGTCCCAGTGTGGGGAGGAGTGTTCATGTTCAAGACTACCCATTTTACTAACTCTCTGTCTCCCTCTCTTATCCCTTTCCCCCTCAAAATTAAATTCAACATTATATAGTTCCATTGCACTTTTTCAGATCTTAACCCAAAAGGCCTGCAAGCACAATGTTTCCATCAGAGCGCTGGGACTGTGCTTGTGGAAGGCTTGCAGAAACCAGGTTCCACAGGCTGAAAATGTCTGCTGCTTTGAAGTGTAAACGTGGTATTGCATAGCCTGGAGACTTTGCTTTTAAGGAAGAAAAGAAACAAATGAACAACACCCAGTGTTTGCTGGCTGCAAACAGGAATGCATATCATGACTTCTGCCCCAGAATGCTTTCTGGCAATACCAAACACCATCTCAGGTGGTTCACTCACCCCCTACTATTTGCATTACCTGTCTAGGCTCTTAATGACTATTTCACAAGCGTTATAAAAATAATGTATAACTACTCGGTCTGCACTCCAGAGCTATCCTTTTTTTTTTTTCCCCACTTTGAACACATCCAGCTTAAACTTTGTTTTTCCTGGCTTACAGGATGCTGTCAGTAAATGACCACTACTGTCCGACTCACAGCTCACATAGTTGGATCATCTTCACCTTTTTAATGGGCTTTCCTTACCCACACCCCTCTTAAGGACTATACCAGGATCTTAACTAAACATTGTACCTAAAAGACAAAATATGGGAGCCTCCTGCCATAGTTTCTAAGGAAGATAAAGTCTTATGCAACATACTGACTTACCCGTATG